GCAAGTCACATATCTGAAAAGTTAACAACAATTAGACGACATAAAGAACTCTTAGAAATGAATGAATAAATGTAACAATCCAAATAGACGTTTCTCTAAAGACACAGACAATTAGCGCATGAGAAGACAGATCATGAAGCAACTGGAAGAGGCAAATAAAGAACAGTGAAAAATGACCACTTCACCCCTCGGATTCCTGTTCAGAGAAATCATGTGCAGTGTCAGAAATGAGGGCAAGGGTGTGGAGAAACTGGAGCCATGTCCATTCTGGGGAGTACAGGACAGTGCCGCCCCGTGGAAAACTGGTTGGCACTTCCTCATTCAGTGAAACAAAAACTACCACGTGACCCCACGAGTCTAGTCCTTCACACCTAAGAAGATGAAATACAGGGGCTGGCACAGCCGCACACCAGCGTTCACAGCCACGCTCTTCCCAGTGGTCAGCACGTGGGGACAGCCTGGTGTCCATCAGTCGACGGTTGGCTGAACACACTGCAGTATCATGCAGTGATAAATGGCTTCTGATGCGCGCACAAGCCTCGATTCAGGGAAGCCAGGCAGACACAGACGGTCAAAGGTGTGATTCCACTTCCATGAAACCTAAAAAATCACGCAGAACCTAACCCAGGGCCTTTGAGTCAATTTTGTCTCCTAGCAGCTCTGTAGGACAGTGTCGAGCTGCCGCAGGGGGTTCCAAGACGGTGATCTTCCTGGAAGCAGAGGTCTTCGTCCTTCCCCCAGAGTGGCTGGTGGGCACACAGCGTGGCCTTTTAATTAGCAGCTGAGGGTTGCAGCACACGCAGAACTCCACACGGCGAAAACCCCATTGTCAGCTTGTTGGTTCCAGCGCCCAGATGAGAACCACCCCGCGGTGTGGTCGGGGTGTAGACCAAACACGCTGCAACCTCATTCTCCCACAAAGCACACGGTGAATTCCAAGCCTGGTCTTCCTGACTCACCTCCCCAGCAAGGCTCTTGGAGACAGGCAGTGAGACTGAGGTTGCCGGGGCCGGTAGAAGAGAATGGGCTTGTCTTTGAGTAGATATAAAATGCCCTGTTGGGAAAGATAAACTGAGAAGTGGAGCTTACTCTACATAGTCAGCATTTACTGTGGTGGTCAGCTGGTGTTGAGTCCGGTAGGACTCATAACGACCCTGTGAACACCAGCCCTGAACCCTGTCCTGTCCCGTGCCATCCTCATCATCTGACACATTGGGCCCGTTGCTGAAGTCACTGTCAGTCTGTCATGTTGTGGGTCTGCCTCCCTTTCGCTGATCCTGCCTCCACTTTCCCAAGCATGATGTCCTTTTCCAAAAGAGCCTCTCCTAGCAACGTGCCCAGAGTGTGTGAGATGAGGCTTTGCCCTCCTCGCCTCCCAGGAGCACTCTGGCTGCACTTTCTCCATGACATACCTGTCGGTTCTTCTGACGGTCCACGGGCTATTCAGAAGTCTTCAACACCACAGCTCAAAGACATTGATTTCTCTGGTGTCCTTCCGTGTCCCGCTCTCACATGCATAGCAGATGACTGAAAAGACCATAGCCTGAATCAGAATGGTTACGATGGTCACTTTATTTTTTTATTTTGTTATTTTTATTTCAATGAACATCTACAGAGATTTCAGAATTCCATTTATTCATTGTTGCATTTTTCTCCCCACCCACCCCACCCCCACTTTTTTATTTATGGTGAGAAAAATTTCTATTTAGAATTAGCCTGCTGGACTCAGTTTAGATGATCCCAATTTTGTTGGCAACATCCAAAGCATCATAGTCAGGAGCAAGTCGAACATAGGCCGCCTTCTCTCCATCAGAACTAATCAAAGTATTGACCTTAGCCACATCAATGTCATAGAGCTTCTTTACAGCTTGTTTAATTTGGTGCTTATTGGCCTTGACATCCACAGTGAACACAAGTGTGTTGTTATCTTCTATCTTCTTCATGGCTGACTCAGTGGTCAGGGGAAATTTGATGATGGTATAGTGGTCAAGCTTGTTTCTCCTGGGGGTGCTCTTCCGGGGGTATTTGGGCTGCCGTCGGAGTCTCAGCGTCTTAGGCCGCCGGAAGGTGGGTGATGTGTGGATCTATTTTTTTATTTTCATTTTTGGCCGTGGATGCCCTTCAGGACGCCTTCTTGGCCTTTAATGCCTTTGCTTTGGCTTCAGTTTTGGGAGGGGCGGGGGCTTCCTTCTTCGCTTTTGGCGCCATCATCATAGAAAAGGCAGCATAGTCACTTTTATGTATTTTTTAAAGTGGGTTTTAAAAAATTTACTAGTTTATTTACAAAATTCAAAGATATTATTTTTCAGACCAGATTCTTTCCGTTTCCCTCACCCTCCCATTAAATTGTACAACCTCATGCTTACTCCTGCCTCCCCCACACATCCTCATCCCTCTGCTTCCACCTTCCCCCCGTCGGATCCTCATACTCATTCTACAATAATGGTTTTATACAATATTTGTCCTTGTGGGACTGAGCTAGTTCACTCAGCATAATGCTCTCCAGTCCCTCCAAAGTTCGGTCATAATGTACAAAATCATTGATCAATCCGTTTGATTGTACTTGGACATCTGGGCTGTTTCCACGTTCTTGTGATGGTGAATAATGCTGCCGTGAACATTGGTGTACAAGTCTCTGTTTGTGCCTCAGTTCTCATATTCTCAGGGTATATTCCAAGCAGCGGAATAGCTGGTCATATGGAATTTCCATGTTCAGCTTTCTGAGGAAGCGCCAAACTGCCTCCCAGGACAGCTGTAACTTTTGTGTGTTTTACTGTTAAGTTGTTGGGTTTTGTACAGTTGACTCCAGCTCACAGCGACTGCCCAGGTGAACAAAACCAGGCTGGATCCAGTGCCGTCCTCATGATGTCCACTTCCATCTATGGTTATGGTCACGTGTCAGTTCATCTCCTTAGGAGTCTTCCTCTCCCTTGGTGACCGTCCACCCCTCTGAGCATGATGTCCTTCTCAAAGAGCTGCCCCTCCTTTTAAGACGCCTTAACTACGTGACATGAGCCCCTGCATCTTTGCTCTAAGAAACGCCCTGCATGTGTTTCCTCCATGACGGGTCAGTTTGCTTCACTGGCGTCTGTTGGGTATTCAGTGCTCTTTGCTAGTGACACAATTCAAGAGCATTAACCCCTCTTCAGTCTTCCTTATTCTGTGTCCAGCTTTCACAAGCATCAAAGGCCATTGAAAGCCTTGGCTTCTGCCAGGCACAGCTTAGTCTTTAAACGGATATCCTTGATCAGGGTGGGGGTAAGACTGAGAAAAACTGGATAAATTGTGTGTACTGCACTGAAACAGATGAGGGAGTGAATAATTTAAAAGCGATGTATGATAGGGTATTATGGTTATCACAAGAGTCCACAATTAAGGTTGCATAGTGGAATGTACTTGGGGTGGTGGGAGGGGTGTGGGGGGATTGTGTACCAGGGAGGGAGTGTTTCTTTTACTTTTGAAAGAGAGGAGCGAACTGGGGGCCGGGGGGAGAGGGCTGGGCGGGTAGAGAAGTGCAGCAATGAATAAATGGAAATCCAAATTCTCTGTAAATGTTCATTAAAATGATTAAAAAAAAAATAAAAGGATATCCTTGCCTTTTAGAACTTTGGAGAGGTCCTGGACCGCAGACGTCACAAAGGCAATGTATCTTTTGATTTCTTGACTAGTGCTACCATGGGTGTTGATTGTAGATGAAATAAGAGGAAACTGCTGACAATTCCTGCCTTTTCCCTGTCTGTCACGATGTTGCCTGTTGATCCCGGGAGGATCTTTGCTTTCTTGATGTTGAGATATAACCATATCTATAGCCTTGGATCTTCCCTAAGTGTTTGAATTCCTCTGCATTTTCTGCAAGCAGTGCGTATTTTGAATCATTAAAAAGAGGACTTGAATCCCAAGTCCTGCTCCCCCGTCTCTGTCCTCCACATTCTTCTTCCTTCTGAGGCCCTCATCCCGTGTGCCGGGAGTGGTGAGTAGTACAGTCCCTGTCCTCGGAGGTCACAGTTGGGTTGGACAGACTCTGTGGATGAGTCTGGACCTCAGGTGAGAACGCTGGGGTCCCGTCTCTATCTCTGGGCAGCATGGAGAACTTCCTGGAGGAGGTGGCTCTTCTGTGCCTCAGCTGTCATGCTCACTCCAAATGCTCTTCTGTTACAGGGCATGTTCTGAACACTGTGGGAGAGGGGGCAGCATGGACCCCTAACCCTGTATGTCACCTGACCTGGGCAGTGGGAGCATTGGGCGGGTCTTCCCAGGCTGGTGCACCTCAGTCCTCAAACTGATGTCCTTGCTTCTTGGTAATTTAGAGTGGTCCCTGACTCTCCCAGTGCAATGTGTCCCCAGTTCTGAGCACTAAGGTGCATCTGATTCAGGCCATGGTCTTTTCAGTCATTTGCTGTGCATCTGAGAGCTGGACAATGGATAAGGATGAGAGAAGAATCAATGTCTTTGAGCAGTGGTGTTGGAGAAGAGCACCGAACATCCCACGGATAGCCATGAGAATCAGCATGTCTTGGAGAGGGTGTGACCACAGTGCTCCCTGGAAGCAAGGAGGGCAAAGCTTCATCTCACATACTTCGGGCTTGTTGCTGGCAGAGGCTATTCCTTGGAGAGCGACGTCATGCTTGTAAAGGTGGAGGGTCAGTGAGAGAGAGGAAGACCTTGGACTAGGTGGACTGACACACTGACCACAGCAATGGACCCAAGTATGTAAGAGATGGTGAGGACGGCACAGGACAGGACAGGGCTCAGATCTGCTGGTCACACTCAACTAGATGGCCTGCGACAACACTGCAGGCTGCAGCTTCCCTGAGCGGTGCTTCATGCTGGGGTGACACTCAGCCAGTTCCCTGCGAGGTGCCAGCTGTGCCCCGTCCCCGTCCTGAACCCCCTCGCCCACGAACTCATGGTAGGAGACGGGACTCAGAGGCTGGAGGGTGTCCTCCTGCCCCTCACGTGATCCAGGCCAGACTCTGCTGTGAGCCCCCTTCCTTGAGCAGGCTCCTGGTGTGTGACCGTCTATCTTTGTGGGTCCCTGACCCAGGGCTGCCTCTGGGGCTCATCTGTCCCCTAGGGACCTCCCAGGTAAGTGTCTGTCCTCAAGGTGCCCCAGTGGGGGTCAGACCCAGCTCTGACTGTTTGAACCGAGGTGCTTCTCCTTTCCTGGTGTGGACATACAGTGTGACGGTGCTCGGAACCTGGACACAGTGGTGCCGACAGCTGTCTACACCTGCACACGTGCTGTGACACCTGTCCAGGCAGTGCTGGGGCGGCCACCTCCCTCCAGACCTACCCCAGTTCACCCCTGAGCACCAGTCCCGCTCAAGCCAGCCTTACTCTGCCAGGAGGGAAACTGAGGCAGGGCTGACCTGCACGGGCTCTCCATCACAGGATGGGAACACGTTGGCTGTGGCTGTCACACGTGACCACCTGGGGCTGTGTGGGGACCATGTCTGGGTCAGGTGGGCAACATCAGCTGGTAGTGGTGTCATGTGCAGCCAGCCTGAGCCCCTCAAGAGGGTCTCTCGAAGTCCCCCTTGCCATGTCCTGCCCACCCCCTCTTCCCATTCTCCTTCTCTGTCCAACTGTCTGTCCTCTCTCAGTCTCTCTGCCCTGCACCTGGTGCCCCCGGCCCCCCACCCCGGGAAGTCTCTGGTCCCCGCCGGTATGCACCATGCGTGGCCGCGGGCCTAGGCCGGCCGCCTCCTGCAATATTGATGGCCCGTCAGGTCTGCCCTGATTCCTGCGCTTTCAGTTAAAAGGTTTCTGTTGTTGTAGCTTATGCAGTTGCTCTGTTGCTATGGAAACGTGACATCAAAATGACGTTTCCCGTTTAAAAGCTTTTAACTAAATTCCTGCCTGTCAGACGTAGGCCCCATTTTGAGCACGGAGCCGCCTTCGAGCCCAGCTGTGGCCGCTGCCGGCTGCCCATGGTGGGGCGAGCCGCGGGGCCGGGGGCCGGGGCCGGGACGGGGGGCCCGGCCTGAGTCTGTCTTTTAACCCCACAGGTGCCTCCGCCATGGCAGCGGCCGAAATGCCCACCTACCTGGTGTCCCCCCAGACGGAGAAGCACCGGCGGGCCCGCAACTGGACGGACGCGGAGATGCGTGGCCTCATGCTGGTCTGGGAGGAGTTCTTCGACGAGCTCAAACAGACCAAGCGGAACGCCAAGGTCTATGAGAAGATGGCCAGCAAGCTCTTCGAGATGACCGGCGAGCGGCGGCTGGGCGAGGAGATCAAGATCAAGATCACCAACATGACCTTCCAGTACAGGTGGGCGCCACCAGGGCCTGGCAGCACCGGTGGGCTGTGAAACGCCCACTGCAGCCATGGGGCACGGGGCCCAGCAAGGCCAGTGCAGGTGGGACATGTGCCATGGCCCAGCCAGCACTGCATGGCCATAGGGCATGGGTACAGGACAGGCAAGTACAGCTGGGACGTCCCCTGTGGCCCCGCCAGACCGACGTGGCCACAAGGACACAGATCCAGGAGAGGCCAGTACAGCTGGGGTGTCCACTGTGGCCACTAACATGGCCACGGGACACAGATACAGGAGAAGGCAGGACAGCTGGGTCATCTACTGTGGCCTCGCCCGACTGACATGGCCACAGGACACAAAGCCAGGCTAGTACAGGTGTCATGTCTACTGTGGCCTGACCAGCACCAACATGGCCACAGGACATGAGGCCAGGTGACACCAGGACAGTTAGGGCATCCATCCTGTCCCAGCCAGCACCAGAGGAGCCACAGGGCACAGGCCCAGGTGAGGTCTCCTGGCCAGGTAGCCACCCTGAGACAGAAGAGCCCTGAGGCTGTGTTCCTGGAGTCACGAGGCTGAAAGTTCCCCAGGACTGTCCGCCTGACAGTCTACCCTTGGGCTTCCTGGCAGGGGTGGGGAGACTGAGGCTGGGCAGGGCAGGACATGGCTCGAGGAGCTTGCTGTTGGCAGCAGGCACTGGTCCTGGCTTCCTTGGGTGGGGACAGCTCGGGCCTTTGTCCAGGGCTGCCTGATGACACAGAGTAGCCTCATGGAACTCCCACCTGGAATGTCACCACGGAGGGATGCTACATTCAGGCTGCACCCCATTCCTTCCAGGCCCCCCAGCCCAGCTGGAGACAACTGACTGCCCACCCCACCACCACTAGTCAGGAGACTGAGGCCGAGAGTGAGGAAGAGGCCTGGTGCCCAGGCTCTTGGTGTGACAGAACCCAGGGCCGGCCTAGGATGGGTCACCCTGAGTCCCCAGGCATCCAGCTCACAGAGGAGGGTTTGAAAGGGGAGCAGAACCCCCAAGAGTCCTTCATTCAAGAAAGAGAAGACTGTTGGGGTCTGCTGGGTCAGGGTCCCAGGCAGGAACCCCACATGGGCCGTGCCTCCTAGTGCACTGGGCCCAGAGGGCACGGAACGGTCTTTAGTCTGGAGAGATAATCAGAGAACACAAGGTCATCATGGTGTGGAGGAGTCACTGGGGCACACAGGGGTCAATGAGGGCATGCACAAGTCATGAGGATAGAGAGGTCATGAGGGCACACGGGTCACAAGGGCATACAGGGGTCACGAAGTTCATGAGAGTGGAGAGCCTGGGAGAGCACCTGGGGGCATGCAGGCACACAGGCCATGAAGGTGTTGCGGGGTTCAAGGTACACAGGTGTCATGAGGACACAGAGGGATCATGACTGAAGATGTCATGCTTATGGCAGGCGTGAGAGGCAATGGGACCAGATGTCCCTCCTGCAGTGGTCTCCTCATGGGCCTCACAGTGGGACCAGGGCTTGTGTGCCCACTGTACTTACGGTTCATGAGACACAGGTACCCTCACAACTCCCGAGGGCAAGCTGAGGGTCTGAGAAAGGGCATGCTTGACCAGCTAGCTGGCGCACTGACCTGCGCAATGGTTCCTTTTACCCTGAGAGTGTCTCTGTAGAGCAGGGACTCATCTTGTTTCTTTTGTAAAAGCTCTTTATATATGAAGGCTATCAGGCTAAGGAAGGTGGAGAAGGTGGGGAGTTCCGTGGAGCTTGGTTTGTTGAGCTATCACTTAGGACCTCTGGAGCGGGGCACAGCCTGTCCTGGTGCTGGTCCAGGCTCCTGTGTGGGCCATTCACAGTTGGAATGCTGACCGCTGCTACCTTCCCACATCGGATGGTGCTTGTACTGTGGCCCCACATCGTGAGAGCTGCTGCTGGCTGGACACCAGGCCTCAGGCTGCAAACCCTGAAGGGGAATGACGGTGAGCAGTCTGAACTCACCAGCCGCTGCGGGAGAATGAGGAGCCGACTGGCTTCCCAAGTGTCTGCAGCCCTGACGTCCCACTAGGCCGTTCCCCCATCCGTCCTGTAAGGTCACTGTGTGTCGACTTGACGGCAGTGGCTGGTTTGACGGTCATCCTCTTTTTGCTGATGTGAAAATTGAGGGTCAGAGAGGATAAGGAAGCTGCCCAAGGTCACAGAGCCGAGACGCAGCCTAGACCTGCTGGATGAATGAGCCCCCACTCAGCGCTGTCACCCCCAGCCCTGCAGGGTCCCTGCTAGTGGTGTTGTCGTGGTGTATTGTAGTTGCGTCCTCCGACTGCCTTTTTTGGCTGTACAGTTCTTTCCCATTGCTGGTTAACCTTCTTAGAAAGTAGAGTCTGTTCACTGTGGGGTCCTGGGGACATCATAAGTTACCAAGAGGCTGGCTGTTCGAGCCTCTCTGGGGGAAAGTTGAGGCAGCGTGCCTCCCCAGAGCTGACCGCCACGGGTCCTGCTCTGTCCAGTAGGGTCACTATGATCAGAACTGACTCGACGCTGATGGGTTTGGTTTCGCGATTTTTGGTTGTTTTTGTTGCAGAGTTTAGAAACTACAGCTAATCAAGGACCCTCCAAGTCCCCACCTTTAAGGGTCCCCTCGATGGTCAGGGTGTCTGCCTCGCTGCTTCTTTACCATCTAAAGCAGTGCAGACCCGCAGCCTGGCTTCTCCCGAAGCCTGATGTCATCCAGCCCGTGCCGTCTCACACTTGGCTCTTGTGTCTCTCGTTTCAGGAAATTAAAATGCATGACAGATAGCGAGTCCGTCCCGCCTGACTGGCCCTATTTCCTAGCCATTGATAGGATCCTGGCCAAAGTCCCCGAGTCCTGTGACGGGAAGCTGCCAGACAGCCAGCAGCCGGGGCCCTCTACGTCCCAGACCGAGGCGTCCCTGTCGCCGTCTGCTAAGTCCACTCCCCTGTACCTACCGTACAGCCAGTTCTCCTACGAAGGCCGCCTGGAGGACCACGGCTTCGACAGCTCTTCGAGCTCACTGTCCCTTAAGCTCAGGTGCGTCACCGTCCTGACCTGGGCGGGCCCTGGGGGAGGCAGGTGCTCCTGGCTGAGCTGGGCCTCCGGTGACAACACGGGCTTAGTCAGCCGGCCGGTGTGCCTCTCGGCTCTGCCACGCCAGTCCCCACGTCTCTGGGACTCAGTCTTCTCGCCTAGGAAGTGGGATGCACATTTGCAGAGCATGGCAGGTGTGTTCTGAGAACCATCTGTGGGGTCCCTGACCCAAGGCCCCAGTTTAGGACCACAGGCCCTCTTCTGAGCCTGCTCTAGCGGCAAGGCCTACGGAGGCCAGTCCTGAGGCCTCAGCTGTCCACCCTCACTGCCACCCCACCTATGTCCAGCCCTCCATCATTCAAACTGCAACTAGACTGGCTCCCGAGGAGAGGTCCTCTGGGGTGGACCTTCCAGGGTGTGTGGGCATTGACCAGGGAGGTTGTGGATCTCCTCCCTGACTTGGGTCTTGTCCTCTCTGTACCTCAGTTTCCCAGCTTGTCCCAGGGCTGAGCGTATGGGGACCCCTCTCTCTCTGGCTCTGAGGTGGCCGAGTGGCCTTGCTGTGTGTGAGCTGAGAAGGCCCAGGCGGGGGTGGGGTCCTGACCAGCACAGCCCCCGAGGCGCTGCAGGACTTTGCTCGTTGCACAGCTGGTGTCTTCTCTGGTGCTGCTGGGACAGACACACCACAAGGGGGTGCACGAACAGACGGGAACCTGTTGGCCCCAGTTTAGGAGGCCAGAGGTCGGACTTAAGGATTTGGTAGAAGAGTGTATGTTGAGTCGCACGGGTAATCCGGAGACTGTGCACCAGCAGCTCTGAGGAGTAGGACTCACAGTCCTGTCAATCCCATTGCGTTTTACAGCCTTGGAAACGGGCTTGGAGGGTGGCTGAGCCTGAACCACTGGACGGGAGTGAGCCAAGTCCTGGGTGTGGCGGACAGCGTTCTCTGTGTGGGCTCTTCCCTCTTTCACCGCCCTCTTCTTCCACTCTCTGTCGGCTCCAGGGAGGGTCTTCCCCCTTCACCTTCCTCTCCTGGTTGACTTCACGTGTTTCACTGTCTTCTTCTGGGTCAGGAGTCCTCAGCACATGGCCTCTCCTTCTCGCCCTGCTCCCATCTCCTCTCTCTTTACATGACAGACCTCTCTCCTTTCTCTGCCCTCCTTGTTACCATGGGGCCAGTGCCCTAGTTCGACCGCCCTGGCCTGGCCAAAGAGTTGAACTGGGTGGAAGACAAATGGGGAGGTTGGCCGTGGACGGATCCCCTGCTCTTGACCTGGTTATGTCTCACTCAGAAAGGATCCAGGCGTAGGCTGAGCCCTGGTTCCAGCCCACGGGTGAGGGAGGGCAAGGAAACAGGAGAGAAGGTGAACGCAGAGATATTTATTAGAAAAGCGTCCAGGGATCGAGAACGGTCATGAATCTGAAAGTACAATGGAGAAAAGGCCTGTACCCGTGTGTCGTTGGAGGGTAGTGTTGGCTTAGGCCTCCGTCGAGCGTGCGTTTGGGCTGAGGGATGAAGAGTTCAGAATGTGCCGGCTGGTTCTCTCTCGGGCCCCCCGCTCCTGATGTCACTCATGCACCTAAAACACCAGTTAGAGTTCTGCGTCCCGTGTGGTTGGCTCCCTGGCTCTGACTGGGCAGGGTCTGGTGTCACGCACAGCCTTTGGCTTCTGTTGGCTCTACAAAGGGGGTACAGTTACCAGGTTTAAGTCCCGATCTGGGAGCAGAAGGACTTGGAGAGCAGCTAGAGTCATTTAGAGGCTGGCCTGTTAGCCACGTCCCTGACCCGCATAGAAGTTATGATGGAGACTAGAGCTGTACTCGTTAGAAGATCTAATCTTCGCCCTGTAGGGGACAGGTGCCATTGAGCTAAGCTGGTGAACATTCCCTCCCAGCAGCAAGTCCAGGATGGGGAGGGTCTTACGTCTGTTGTGGGCAGGCCATCTGTTCTGTGAGGCGTGAGGTTTGGGATAAGCAGCTGTGAATGGCTGTCATGGTAATTAACAGTTGCCATCCGTAGTGACCACGTCTGGGGTCCCCGTGTGAGGGGTGTGGTGACGATGGTGTGTGTGGGAGACACATCGGCTCTGGCCTTGGTTTTCGGCCTCTCCTGTGGGACGGGCGTGGTGACCTCGCTGCTCCCTCAGCCCTGCAGGGCTCTGGCCAGCCCAGCGCCTGACTGGACGACTGCAGGGCACGGCTGTAAGGGCGGGTTTTCTGTCACCTCTGGCTGCCCTGGCTGACAGTCATCGTAGTGTTCTGACCTCCCGCCGTAGAAACAGTCACCTCCAAGCCCTCTCAGGTGACCTGAGGGGGCAGCTTCCTGAGTGCCTTACGTACCGAGGTTGAGTGTGGCTCTTTGATGGCTGCTGGTCGCATAGGAGACAGGGCCCCCTGTACACTCACCGTTGGTGTTGGAGGTGTGTGGCTACTGAGCCAGCTGTCCCTCCCACACCTGGGTCCTCCCACACCTGGGTCCTCCCACACCTAGACCCATGGCCATGGGAGAAGGACTCAGTTCTTGGTGACTTCAGTTTCCCCACTTATTCACTGACAGGAGTCAGATGGGATTGTCTCGGGGGCAACAGGTGGATGCATGTCTCAGGGTAGCACACGTGTGACTTGGGCTGGTACATGAGTCTCAGCTCAGCTACACGCCTCACGCTGACACACACGTGCCTTAGGTCAGAGCATGTGAGTCTCCTATTAGTGCACACACGTCTTGGACCAGCACACACATGTCTCAGACCAGCACACACGTCTTGGACCAGCACACACATGTCTCAGACCAGCACACACGTGTCTCAGACCAGCACACACGTGTCTTAGACCAGCACACACATCTATGATGAGCACACACGTCTTAGATTGGTACACACATCTCAGATCAGCACACACGTCTCAGAGCAGCACACACGTCTTAGGCCAGCTTACACATCTTGGATCAGCACACGCGTGTCTTAGACCAGCACACATATCTCTGTTAAGCACATGTCTTGAATCAGCACACACGTCTTAAATTGGTACACACATCTCAGACATGTATCAGATCAGCAAACACTTCTTAGACCAGCACGTGTATCTATGATCAGCACACACATCTCTGTTCAGCATGTATGTCTTGAATCAGCACACACGTCTATGATCAGCTCACACGTCTCAGATCAGCACACACGTCTCAGATCAGCACACACGTCTCTGACCAGCACACACGTGTCTTAGACCAGCACACACCTCTGAGCAGCACACACGTCTCTGTTCAGCACGTATGTCTTGAATCAGCACACATGTCTATGATCAGCTCACACGTGTCCCAGATCGGTACACCCGTGTCTCACGGCCTCTCTGTCGTGCAGGTCAGAGGAGCGGCCGGCCAAGAAGCGCAAGGTGCGAGGCTGCCCGTTCCAGAGGAAGAAGCTGCGGCTGCTGGAGGCCATGCTGGAGGAGCAGCGCAAGCTGAGTCGGGCCATGGAGGAGACGTGCCGCGAGGTGCGCCGGGTGCTGGACCAGCAGAACCTGCTGCAGGTGCAGAGCCTGCAGCTCCAGGAGCGCATGATGAGCCTGCTGGAGAAGATGATCGCCAAGTCCAGCGGCTAGCGGGCCTCCGGACGCACACGCGAGCCACGGCTGAGCGCCACGAGCCTCGGGCCGCCGGGCTGTCCCTCCAGGCTGTCCGCAGGGAGAGCTGGGAGCACACACGCCTGTGGGACTGGCCACAGGGGCAGGGCTGTCCCCCTGGACTGTCCCCTTGGGCTCAGGGAGAGCCGGGAATATGTATGGTGGGAGAGGTCACAGGCACAGGGCTGACCCCCGGGCTGTGTCCCTGGGCTGTGCCTTGGATGCTGGGAAGACCCCTGCAGTGAGGGCACCCTGGGTCCTGCCTGGGCGAGGTGTCCAGGCTGGAAGCTGGCAGGAAGGCACAGACTCGTCGGCTCCAGTGACACATCAGGTGGCTGGGTCAGTGGCTCTCAAGGTTACCAGACTCTGTGGTGGACCTGTCACCTTCTCCCTCTTTAGGGCCCCCGGTCTGCAGTGTGACCCCCGAGAACACACAGCCTGGGAGCCACACAGACTGGGCCTCCTCTCGTCTCCTTCTGGGGTTCGAGACGTAAGCTGACTCCTTGGCCATCAATAAAGGAATAGCACCGCTCTTGGCACGCCCTGTCCAATCTCTGCGCACTGGGGATAGAGGACCGTGATGGTTCAGGAGTGGAGTTCTCACCTTCCACGCAGCAGGCCAGGGTTCCCTTCCACCCAAGGCCCCAGTGGTTAACGGGGTGATGGCTGTGGTGATGAGCGAGAGTTGGAGGAACTTCAGGACTAAGATAGGCCAGGAAGAAAGGCCTGGCAAACTGCTTCTGAAAGTCAGCCAATGAAAACCCATGGATCCTGGTGGTTCCAGCATGTGGGGTCACCGTGAGGGGCCTTCTCAGAGGCAACAGAGGGTCCCATGCAGGGAGACAGACAGTGTGTAGCCTGACGCTGGGGAAGCCAGGAACAGTCGAGGAGTGAGAGAGTGGAAGGGTCGCTTTGCTGGGAGGCCCTGTGGCTTCTGCGAGGAGTGTGGGTCACCCTTCTCCCTGGGGAGATGTTTGTACAGCTCTATGCTGACACCCCCAGGATGGCTGAATGGGAGAATCTTCCCAGAAATTTCTCAGCTAGCTGCTCAAGGCTTCAGCTGATCACAGGCCCAAGGACCCCCCACCGCCCCGTCCATTCTCTGCACATGGAGGTAGAGGGCTGTGGTGGCTCAGGGATGCTGTTCTCACCTTCCATGCAGGCCAGGGTTCGATTCCAGCCAAGGCACTGTCTGTTAATGGAGCAATGCTGTGACACAAAGGCGGTGGGTCCAGTTGAGAAGATTTTTGTTTTCTTGATGTTGAGAAACAACCCATGCTGCAGTGCTTAACCTTCTGCAGCAAGTGCTTCAAGTCCTCCTCACAGCAAGCAAGGTTGTGACATATGCAAAACGCAGGTTATTGATGAGTCTCCCTCCAATCCTGATGCCGCATTGTTCTTCATAGAGTCCAGCTTCTTGAATAGTTTGCTCAGCATACAGATTAAATAGATATGGAGAAAGGCTACAACACTGACTCACACCTTTCCTAATTTTAAATCCTTATCTTGCTCTGTTCACATGACAGTCTCTTGGTCCAGGTATAGGTTTTGCTCAGGCACAGTCATGTGTCCTGGGACTCCTGTCCTTCTTAATGTCAGCTGTAATTTGTTCTGATCCACACAGTCAAATGCCTTTACACAGTCAGTACAGCATCAATTGACTCCTTCTGGTATTCTTTACTTTCAGCCAGGATCCATCTGACATCAGCAATAAAGTCCCTGGTGCCACTAAGGCTTCATCTCACACACTTCAGGAATATTGCTAGGAGGAGCTGTTCTTTGGAGAGGGACATCGTGCTTGGAAAGGCGGAAGGTTGTGGGGAGAGAGGAAGACCCTCAACCAGGTGGATTGACAGGTGACTGCAGAAATGGACTTGAGTGTGTCAGAAACAGTGAAGAGGGCACGGGACAGGGTAGGGTTCAGATGGGTTTTTCACAGGGTCACTGGTGGGTTGTACTCCACCGCACCTAAAAACAGCAGTAGGATACCCCCTCACACACATACTCAGAAGAGCCAAGCTAATGCTTGTTGACAATGAGGATGCTTCTGTCTTTGTTGTCTGCCGCTCTCGGGTGCCGTCCAGCCAATCCTGACTCCTAGTGACCCGTGTGCCACAGGATGAACTACTACCTGCTCCTGGACCATCCTCACAACTGCTCTTCTGTGTGAGTCCACCACTGTCGCTGGGTCAGCCCATCTTGTTAGGCAGGTTCCTCTTTGACCCTGTGTTGCTGTCCGTTTGCCAGCAGGGAGCAGTGACACCCTGATGAGGGTAAGCACAACAGAGACCCACCACTCTGGGAGTGCTGCAGAGAGCCAGATTCAACTTGATTGGGGGTTGCAGTGTGCTTATATACAGGCGAGTACACAGGAAGACAGGATGGGGGTATTTGTAGATGTGGAGTATATGGATTGGACAGTAGAACCTCAGCCCAGTGCAGACCACTCCCAGTCCAATGGATGTGGCAGCCGTCCTCCTGGGTGGTGAGCTTTCTCACCAGCACAGCCAAACACAGGAGAGCTTTCTCTATCCCGTGTTAAGGGCTGATATGGGCCAGATAGGCTTGCACTTATCCAGAGCCTGGTGATCAGCCCCAGCCAGGACCCTGACCCCCTTCCCAACACTCCCTAGCAACCCTGTACTTGACTTGCTTGGATCCACAACTGACACCATCAGTCTAGCAGTCAAGAAATTAAAAGACATACAGCACTGGGAAAGTCTGCTGTCAAGGACCACTCTAAAGTACTCAAGAGCAGTGATGTCAGCTTAAAGACTAAGGTACACCTGATGGCAAGGCAGAAGGTCAATAAAAGAGAGGAAGACCCTCAACCCAATGGATTGACACGATGGTGTAGTAATAGGATCAATTAGAGATGATTAAAAGATGGCACAGGAAAGGACAGGGATCAGATCTGTTGTTTGTGCAGTCACCATGAGCACATGAGTCCACATGCTGGACTCAACGGCACATAACAGTGACAGCTGCTTTAGTGAGCGTGATGTCCTTGCCAGCAGCTGGCCCCCCTGATGATGTACCGAGCGCCTCACCAGGCTCGCCGCTGGGAAGAGCATTGTGGCCACATTTCTTCCAGGGCAGATGTGCTAGCTCTCTTGTCAGCCATGGTATAGTCCATAGTCTCCACCTTCATAGTTGGGATTAAGAACTATAAAATGATCTAGGAGTGCATTTTAACCAGAAAGGCCTAAGAGAACTTATGGCTCAGTGTTATTGAAATATAAAAAACCGATACCTGAATGTGTGGCTAGACACCCTCCTCCTGAGAGCTTCAAAGCAAAGAGCTTGGCATCGTCTGTGTAGGCAGTTCCAGTCAGGCTCTGGGGAGCGGCTTCGTCCAGAAAGGGAGGGAGCTGGTGAAAAGCCAGGGTGGAAGGCCCAAGATCAATATGCCTACAAGAGGTGGTCAGCGTCAGGAAGAGAAATGCAGACCTGGGTGGTGTGAGTGTCTCAGGCCATCCTCGGGTCCAGAGAGTCCACAGGGAGGAGGGGACCTGGGTGGTGTGAATGTCTCAGGCCACCCTCAGGTTCAGAGAGTCCGCAGGAAGGAGGGGACCCGGCTGGTGTGGGTGTCTCAGGCCATCCTCAGGTCCAGAGAGTCCACAGGGAGGAGGGGACCTGGGTGGTGTGAATGTCTCAGGCCATCCTCGGGTCCAGAGAGTCCGCAGGGAAGAGGATGCGGGAAGAGCTCAGGAGTGGGACCCTCCACCTTCCGAGTGCTGTGAAAGCCAACATAGCCCTTCAGAGGAGCCGAGAGCCTTTGTCTTGTAGGTTTGTCTCAGAATTCCACTTGCCAGTATTTGACCATGCACAGCACTTTGAGCATGCTGGTGCCATAACCTGTAGGGAGTGGTGGCCCTTCTATGCTGGTTTGAATCTGCTAGCAGTTCCAAAGGAGACGGATGGATGAAGACAGACCAGCAGCTTCCTCCAGCACCATTTACAGCCTCTGAATACCTGCGGGCGCATCAGCTTTGAGTCAGTCCTGACCCCACGGCAGTGAGAAGTGAGGCTCCCTGGAGAAGTCCATCGTGCCGAGAAAAGCAGGGGTCCAGCACGGAGAGGAAGGGCCTCGAGGAGGCAGACTGACAGGGTGGCTGTGGACACTGCAGGCCTCGAGGAGGCAGACTGACAGGGTGGTTGTGGACACTGCAGGCCTCGAGGAGGCAGACTGACAGGGTGGCTGTGGACATGGCAGAGACAGGACTGCACAGCAGTGGACAGTGTTCCCTCCATTGTACAGGGGTTACCTGTGAGTCTGATAGACCTGAAGCATCTGCAGTAATAGAGTAGCAGGTCTTACATTTGACCACTTATCAGACTGAAAAGTGATGGACACTCTCAGTCTTTGCTTACGCGAGTTCCTGTTAGCTTCTTGGAAGCCACGGTCAACATCTTTGGGACGAGCAGTCAGGAGGTCGGGAAGGATATACATTTAGGAAAGTCTGCAGGCAGGGGTCTCTCTAAAGTCCTGAAGAGCAATAGTTTTAGTGTAAAGACTAAGGTGCACCTGATTCAAGCCAGTCTTTGCAATCACCTGCAGTGGATCTAAGAGCTGGGCGGTAAATACGGATGACGGGAGAATTGATGTGTTTGAGTTGTGTTGAAGACTGCTGAATATCCGTGAACGGCCAGAAGAACAAACGGATCTGTCTTGGAGAAAGTACAACTAGAATGTTCCTCAGAGGCCACGGTGGTAAAGCTTCATCTCACATACTTTGAGCATGTTGTTAGCAGAAGCTGTTCCTTGGAAAAGGACATTTTTCTAGGAAAAGAAGGCTATTGCTTGGAAAGGTGGAGGGTCAGTGAAGGAGAGGAAGACCCTCCGAGATGGACTGGCACAGTGACTGCAGCAGTGGGCTCAAGTGAAACCTGGCCAGCACCATGACGACATGCCAGCCTCCGCGGACGGGGTGGTGGTGCAGGAGGGCACACTGGGCAGGGCGTCAAACACTGGTGGA